GCTGAACGAGAAGTTGAGATTAGGGAGATCGAGCAAGGAATCAACGAGTTAAATGAGATATTCAGGGATCTTGGAACGCTTGTGACTGAACATCAAACGATGCTGGGTAAGCTTTTTATTTCGATCACTCATGTCTTCTTTTTTCCTCAACCTTACTCCTTTTGCTTCTAACAGACAACATTGAGAGTAATGTCACAAATATTGCCGTGAATGTTAGAAATGCTGCTGATGAATTAACAATTGCCAGTCGTTATCAGAGAAACGCACGTAATAGGATGTGTTGCCTTATGCTTATTTTTGCCGTCGTTGGTGGTGTTGTGATATTGGCTGCCTTGGCATAAATCATTGCTAGGATTCTTTTATCTAGAATGAAAAAATTCCATTTCATATCGAGTTCTATTCGAGGTTTTCTTTGCTTTGAGATATTCAATAATGAAAACCTGGTGAATTGTACAACTTCAATAATTTTGTATTTTTATTCATTTTCACACACCGGTCTTTTTTTTTTTTTTTTTACATCTTATATTTATATTAAAGGGAGGGAAGGTTATGTTTGCTTAAACCAACCAAGTGTGGTTGTAAATATTCTTCATGTTTGCTGTTCTTATTTGACACTAATTATTTTAATTATAATTGTATCAAATATACCGGATTGCCATTTCAGAAATTTCACTGTCGATGTTTGAACAAGCTCGTTATGAATAAAATGGGATTTACCTTATATTCAGTGGTACATTTACTAACTAAAAATCCTTAACATTGTAAAGTTCTAATTTACAATGTTCATTTATATATTGTTATATTGCAATATCGAAGATGAAAAAAATGTCTTTGGGAGATAAACATAATCATATTTTACAAAGAAAACAAATAAACAAACATTTATTATACAATATTAATTTATTAATTTAAAAATTTGGTATGAATTTGTCTTTTAATCAACGATAAAATATCAATTTATCAATATCGTGATATTTATTGCTTTTTTTAAAAACAAATAAATAAATACAGTATAGACTACAGAATATTTTAAAATACTTTTTGCTTCATTTAATTTTGATTTAACAAATTTCTTTTTAAAAAAATTATTATTTATTATTATGTTTATATAAAAGTATGTTTTTAGTATACATATATACTGTATACATTTTATAATATTTTTTTTTTCTAAAAAAAACATTAAACCTAAAATACATATACTGTACTTATCAACTTATTTTTTTATAATTCAAAAAACCAGTTATAGCATCAATCAAATTAAATTAAAATCAATAATAAATACATGATATATAATTTTATATTGGTTTTGTAATTTAAAAAATAAATTGAATAATTTTGTACACAATTTTTATTTATTTATAAATAAAAAACTAACTAAATTTTCTGAAAATTTTTTTATATTATATTTCATTATTATGAAAATCTTGATACAATATACTGTATAAAGTAATATAAAACTTCAAACATATAATGCATATAACAATTTAATATTAATTATATATCATATTCTTTTAATTGATATTGAGAAAAAGTATATTAAAATAATATTTTATATTAAAAGATATCACCAAACAATTTTTTGTTCAATTTTTTTATTATAATTTTTTTCAATTTTCAATTTATATTTTAATATTTATAAAAAATTTTTATTATCAGATACTGTATATTTTGTTTTTTTTAATTTATTTTTTATTTGTTAATAAAATGTTTTATTAATAAGTATACTTAAATATTATTTATTGTATATATGGTAATTGATAATCAAATAATATAATACATATTATATTAAATTTGTTATTATTACTATTATTATTAATATATTATTTCAAACTGATTTAAATATATTTAATTTGTATTATAATAAAATATTGATTATCAATTTATTAATTCTAATTGAAAAAGATAAAATTAATTTCAGTTTTTTTTTGGTTTAAAAAAAAAATTTCTTGTAATATACTGTATATACTTTTTTTGGCAATTTTCTTACCATGGATGGAAATATTTTTGACTACAAATTTTCTAGATGGTTCTTTGTGTTTTAGTCATAAAAATCAAACAATAAAAAATAATCTAATAGAAGTAATGTAAATAATAATTTAATAATTTAATCTAACCTAAAATATAAAATTATATTATAACAGTAAAATAATCTAAAGCATATACAGTAAGTAAGATAATATAATTATATTATTTCTTTCACTTGGATTATTTCCTAGTGACAAGATCACGTTTGTTTGTCATGACAATATCATGTTTGCATCATCATTGTAAAAGTTGCTATAGAGCATCATTGTCGCAATGAATAATGCAAAACTTTAATTTCATCTGTCATTTAATATTATTTTTAGTTTGATCTAAACAAGCGGAGGATGATCTCTTTCAATTCAGCTAAGATTTGATACATCGTTGAAAATCGAAGCACGCAGTAGCGTGATACAAAAAATACCTAGGCTATTTCCTAATTTGCCAAGACATTTTTATTATTCAATGCATGATGATCATCACATCACTCGCATAAGTCAAAAGTTTACATAAAAAGCATTACATGTGCGGAAGCGCATATTTTTTTTATTACTTTCCGATGTAATCAACAAATAATTAACACATGCTATATAATATGCTCTGGTTAGATAACATGAGATTTTCGGAAAAATAATCACTAGATTTGCAGAAAAGCCCTTCAACATCTTTTGGAATCAAACCGTCCATACCATATTGGACAATTCCTGTGACAGTTTCGTGTTTTACTCACAAGTTGATTAAATTTTGGTGTACCAAGGGTATCGCGTTTGAAGATTACCTTTGGTGATGGAGGGCTTGGATTGCAAAGCTTACTGTATAACGTATCAAATGATTTACAAAAAATCTCTCGCACTCTTAAAAGAGTTTCTATTTCATTAACAAATAAATTCATCTCTTTGATTGAAGAAGGGATGCATACTTGACCGATATGGACCATCATATACATTCCCTGGAAGAGATCCATCATATAGAAATCCATTTTGTAATCTAAACAACAAAATGTTTTAAAAATAAATCATAAGGAAAAAGGAAAATCAAAAAATATTAAATTTACCTACCGACACA